CCCCCCCCCCCCCCCTCCTCCCCAAACTTCATAATTTTGAAAAATGCACCGGGTAGGATTTAATGAATACTTAGTATGTAATTTTGGTGTTACTTTTAGTATAATGGTAGATGATGAGTATAATTTTGGTATAATGGTAGATGACGAATATAATAATACTCTTTCCGTTCCAAAATGATTATCTCTGTACTTTATGATAGATCTCAATAATTTTTATTTATTTGTATGTATTTAGTCATTATTTGATAAAATAAAGTACTCTTGTCACATTTTATTTTGTAGAATTTTTGATATAATTTTTAAATATACATCATTTTTGTTTTAATTGTAATAAAATTTGTAAATAAAATTATTTTAGAAGTCATGAGATTTTACACATTGTTCATCCATGTGTTGTGATGGAGAAGACTTACCGGATTCATGTCGTTCTTCGAGGGGTTGATGTCTTATGTGGATGTTAAGCTGGGAAATAGTTAGGCCGCATCAGCAAATGAAGCATGGCAATGGGTTGTCGAGACTAAAATAAAAACAAAACAAAAAAAATGGAAGAACTCTTTAAGAAAATATATATTTATAGGGACTAAAAATAAAAATAAAGCACGCCTATTTTCGATGGATTAAAAACATAATTTCCCATAAAATGAAAAATGTTGAGTATGTAGTTTAAAAAAATCTATAATGCTTTGTTTTTAAAACATAATAATAAACTTATGAAACCGGCCTTCTTGTTAAAATAATAAAATATATGTGTAGATTAAAAAATTAAAATGGTTAAATGCATATTAGGATAGTACTTAGAAAAGGAAATTTTTTATACAAATTTAATGGTCATTGAATGTGATAATTATGAAAGTTATTTGATGTTAAGAAATATTAAAATAAGAGATGCCAAAATTTTAAAAATTCACAATTTATATTTTGTTTGAAAGAAAATAAAATGAAATAAATATTGGATAGTTTTAGAAACTAATTATATTATAAAAAATGATGGTTAAAGCTCCCCGTAAACTTCTCATCCTATCCAATAGGGTAACACTTAAAGTGAATGTTACTTAGACTGTCGAATTCTTAAAAAAATGACACTCTTTAATTATAAGTTATGATAAAAGTATATCAAATTATAATATAAATTCAATATTTTATTGGATTTATCTTAGTAAATAGTTTTGATATATCAAACTTTTTATACATAATTGCAATCAAAGATTGTAAATGATTGTTCCTATTTGTATATGGATTCACATGCTCATTGTAGGCATAGTTAATATTTGTGATAGGCTTTTGCATGCAGATTGCATGTGTCGCATTTGAAAAAATTAGTTAAAGTGAGTGAACATTTATCCCCCAAACACTACTCCTTGTCCATAAAAAAAAAAGCAAGAAATTAAAAAAAAATATAATAAAAATATGTGATAAAAAGGATTGCTCTTTCGAAATTTGAGCTAACGGTGCTCTAAAGCCACTTTAACGCACCAAATAATTCTAGTACGGAGTATATACATATAATAATGCGTACGTTCTTTGTTCCTGATTTGACCAAATATAAAAATGAGAAAGTGTTAAATTGTACTCCCCGTCTCATTTTATAACACCTGTTTCAGTTTGCGATTTTTGACTGAAATTATTTTCAAATCATTTTATATGACAAATGGTATATATAGTTTAAAAAAAATAAAAATTATATAATAAAATACTACGTCAAAAGATCTACAAAACTAATAATATTTTATTTTATCAAATTGCTAATGAAAATTGAGAAAGAAAGTGAATGAAATTTGACTCTATGAATAGTAAATGAACATATTTTATAATTTGGGACGGAAGGAGTAAGTGACTTCTAATCTAAAACTAAGATGTAATAGATAAATTATAAGAGAAAAAATACAATGTGATAAGTAAGGTATGAAAAAATAAAAGTAAAAATAGTTTTTTAATAGAAAGTAGAACTATTTTGTTGAAAGTGAAAAAAAATAAAAAAAAAATGTCTTTTGAAACGGAGGGAGTAATGATTAAAAAATTTGGTTAACTATTGAGTGAAAAAATATACGGATTAGTATACAATTATTTAACAAAATTCAATGAATTAGATGGAAGTACCTAAACTTGGCAGGTATGGAAGAAGCTAGAAAAATTAGATTTGGATGCATTCTATAATGAATTGATATTTTTAAAAAATTTGAAACATAATTTGAAAAGTTGAATCCACTCTAATTTAAGGGCATTTCGTTCAACGAAAATGCATTGGTACGTTATTAGATTTTTTTAATATATACTCCGGTATTTGTGAATTGATTAATTTATAAAAATAATTGTAGAAAACTTGTAAAATGATTTAATACTCCCTCCGCTCTACTGTAATCGTCTGGTTTGACTTTTTTAAATCAAATTAGACGAATTATAATAATCAATTAGTTTAAATTTGTATTATATACGGAGTATAACGGTAAGTCTAAAATGACATCAGTACTACTGGTATTATTTGCTTACACCAGTTCGTTTGTGGTAGCTACGTTGCTCCATTTATAAAAATGATGGTTCCTACCCCACCTAACCCTCCCCCTAAACCCCCCACCCCAGCCCCACCCTTGGCCCCCACCCCACCCCCCTCCCGCCCCCTGGCAGTACAATACCTGGCAGTGTACTGCCAGGGTAGGGAGGGGCTGGGGTGGGGGGGGCAAGGGTGGGGGTTTAAGGGGAGGGTTATGTGGAGTAGGAACCGTCGTTTTTACAAACGAAGCACCGTAGGTACCCCAACCGAACTGGTGTGTTATAAGTAACTGGTGTCATTTTAGACGCTCCCTATATATTAATACTATGAATTTAAATTTTGAATGTTCTCAATAAAATAAAACTAATGAAATCATTTTTATAATACTCCCTCCGTCGCCTTTGTCTCATTCTTTGAAGTCTAGAACAATTACCTCTCCATCACCATCGAAATCTTTAAGCTCAAGCATTTCTCCATCTTTTTTGGATGTTCTTCACAGGTATAGACTCGTGGAGATGGTTGTCTCCTCATCAAGTTGTGTTTCTAAGATGAAAGCGGCAAATTCCTGGAAGAGTATACTCACCACCTCCCACACTAGGGTTTTAGGGTTTCTGCAAAGAACTTTAGATTTAGGCAGATGGGTTTTTATCATTATAAGGCAAATTATCATATAAACCTAAAACTTATTCTAGTATTAAAAAATACGAGCCTTCTCACATAAATTAGTACTCCGTATTCAAACATGCATTTTTTTTAAATTACAGAGTATTAATTAACTTATGTGAGAACACGAATCCACGATATATATACACATAAAGCGATCTCATCATAAATGGTTGTTTCAGAGGGAATTCACAACAAACCAAAAATGGCAAGACGGCGAATGTGTGGGCAGCTGGTTCAATGCCAGAGTGTAGTGCAGAGGGTGTGCCCATTCTCTCCTTCTTCTTCTTCTTCTTCCTTTTCTTCTTTACCACCACCACCACACAGCTTATCCATGAAGGTATGCATCAGCTGGCCAGCCAAGCTTGAGAGGTCATCAATGAAGGTGTCTATGAAGATGCCCACCACCATCCTCTCTTGCGCCGTGGCTTTCAGGCTGAACCAAGTGAGGAACTTCACCCTGAAGTCCGTCTCAATGTGGCCTTCGCTTTCCAACTTTTTTATCACCCCAACTGAGTACTCGTACCCCTTTGCCACCTCTTTCCCTTCTTCTTCTTGCCTCTTGTTGACCACTGGACGAGGTGAGGCTGGAGCTGGAACAACACGGCGCTTCTTTGCCGAGCATTTCTGCTTTGATGGGCTCTCTGTTTTGTTGTCACTTGAGTTCATAGACTCTGCGACATTGTCTCCCTCTCCCAGTTCTCTGTGAGGGGTTTTCATTTGGTGAAAACCTGTAGAGACCCATAGGGAAACTGAGATAACCAAAGCACCCATGGCAGAAACGGCTAAGGTGGGAGGGACTTACTTTGTGGTGGTTGCAACAAGGAAGCATCAAAAGCTTCTATCGCAGAGGCACACAACTGTTGAACAATGGATCCACAAGAGAGTCTATTGACAATGCTGCGATCCATCTTCTCCGATGCACGTTCGAGGGGACCCACTTCATCCTCGAGTGCATCAACTGCAGATTCAACAATTTGGAGTAGCCCCTTGTGTTTTTCAGTGTGCTGCAGGATCTTGTGGCTAAGAGAGATTCTTAGGCACAAGTTGTCAACTCTCCTCGCTTCCTTTGCTCTCACCAGCTGCTTTCTCAATGTCCTAAACATAAACAATGTGTGAGTCGAGTTTCTTCTTCTTGTTATTATCATTCCTTTGCACATGAAGGTGTGTTTGGTTGGGAGGGGAAGGAACGTTACCCTGTCTGGTTTGTTGAAATTGGGGGCAATCCCCGTCTCTTTCAGCCAAACACACCCTAATAAGGTACACCCAGACTGCTAATAAATTATGAATGGAAAAATCAGTGTGTGACGGTGTATCGCATTTATTTCTTTTTGTGGGGAAGTTAAAAACTTGCCAAAGAAACAAATCATGTAAATCTGTAATTACAGAAGTGCACACATTAAAGATGCAGGGAAGAAAAATTTATGCATGGTATATCTTTCCTTTTTTTAGTTTCAAAACCTATTTTCACGATTATGGAACACTTTGGACGCTTGGTGGAAACTAAAACACACATTCAATTCTTAAAAGGTATTTTTTAATCCGAAAAATTCAGCACACACTAACACCAGTTGTGCAAAATTGTATGCTAATCATTATTAAATGAAGCAGAACCTTCAACATAACATTACTCAAGCATTAACTGCAAATGTATGCTTCAACAATTCAAACTCTTAAGTAGCTGGATATATATTGAATTCCCAGGTAAATTAATAAAGACAGAAAGAGGAAAGAGTTTCATAACTTCATACCCCATCAAGTCGTTAGTTTTTCCACAAGAAACACAGTAGAACTGTCCATCCAGTCTTAGACAAGGACCATGCAGCAAAATGCCAGATCTTTCATGTGAAAGAGAGCATCTGAGGTGGCACGACAACCCGCAATAACCTGGTTCTTCTGGACAATCAGAAGAACAACAGACCAGCCACAGACTGGGATCTTTGTTGTCATCGTACCTATGACAAATGCAGCAAGAACATCTTCTGCAGAAGACATCTGCATCATTCACTACAGCCCTGCATGCTGAGTTCTGACAGAGAAAGGCTTCCGGCTTGTCTTTCATCTCCTCTTCACACGGATGATCATCTGGGGTTAGATTTTTTTTGGTATTTATCGTTCGTCTACAAGAAAACAGCTTCAAGAGATGCTCTATCATTCTTGCTTTGGTGAAGCCAGGGTACTTCCTCTCCTTGCCCATTTCAGCACATATTATTTCAAGCAGTTGTCTCCTGCCTAATGAACTTAGGACCTTTGGTGCATCATCCGACCATTGATAAATCCCATAAAGTAATTCCCTTCTCTCTTCTAAACTCAACTGGCTATATGTATAAGGGTTGATTACAAAACCTGTTAATCACAGTGGACAAAAAAAAGGAATTCACTTCAAAGATGAGTAAGCAAATACGGAGTACTTCAAATCACTTATCTAAGATAAACATAAATGTCTTAATTTGAAAGGAGAATAAAGAAGATTCAGAATTCAGATTGTGTTTGTTAATGATTGAAAACACCCCATCATTGTGCCAACCCAACACCCCATCATTGTGCCAACCTCCAGCCACAAACATGTGCAATCCATCCCTCAAATAACTTTTGTCCTTGCAAAAGGCCATTCCAGGATTATTCTCAATGCATAATCTTTCATTTATCCCTACTGATTATTGCCAAACAAAGTACTTGCAAGAGAAAAGTCAAAGGGCATGAACAATATTCCAGCATTGACTTTCCATTGTTAAAGGCCCACAACAGCAAAATTTCATGAACAGTTTCACACTCCACTTTTTTTGTTGTATACATAAAATCACACTTCACATTTCATAAAAGAAAAGGATGAACCCATATTGTCCCAATTCACATTTGATAACACAAGGTAATGGGTGATATCTTCACACAGACACATAAAAATCACATTTTTATATCCTGCACGCTCAAGCCTATACTAGGGAAGAAGAATAAAAAAAGTCATATAATAATCATGCTCTAATAGTCCACCAGCAACTCCATTTTGTCAAACATCAAGCAAAACCCCATAAATAGTACGGAGTAGTAAATAAATAAGAACAACAATAATGAAAAAAAAGGCACAGTAAAAACAAAGAAATCCCCCGAAACTAAAAGGGGGAAACCTGATGGTGAAGGTTCAATAGCAGAAGCTTCGTTGCCTCCGACGGGTTTTCTCATGGTCTCTGAATCCAAAGAAACGCAGCTCAGCTAAACTTGGATCAATTTGGAGAGGGGAGGGAGATAGAGCGATGCGAATGCATAATAATGATATTTGCTTTGCGGAATAAAAGGGCGAAAAAAGTGAGCAGTCGCCCTTCAGTGATGAGGCCATGGATTTCCGTCATTGGATCGATCTGGTAGCTTGCTGGCGGTTGATTCCGCCCTCTGGGTTGAGGTAGACAAATTAATTATTAGGATTAACTATGGATTGGTAAATATGTTAAGGAACATCCTACACACACCAAAATTAAATTTGTACACCAAACTTAGACCAAAAGAATATACCAATATTTTGATGATTCACACAGACACAAAGTATTGGTGGATTAACAAAAATATACACTGATACAAAGTGTTATACGTTAACAAAAATTAGCATTACACCAGCACAAAATGTTATTGTACACCTATGAGGTACAAATCCTTGGGGTACAAATAGCTTTATCCATATCTATAATATGTATTTGGATTAGGTTTGGAAAATTGTGTATTTATTAGTTAGTGTCAGATTCGTGTCAAACCAACGACTTATGACTTTGCCTATTAAAATTTTTAAATTCATATTAATATTTGCATTTTGCATTGAAAAATTTTAAAATATAAAAAATATGTATTAAATCTATTAGATTATTTTATTTTAAATTTTGAAATAATTTTTAGATATATAAATCAATACAAAAAATTAAAAAAGAAATATAAGATGATTAGGTCAGATAATTAGGCATCATTTTTGAAAAAAAGGAATATAAGATAATTAAATGATCTTTTCAGGACGAGTTTCATGCCAGAAAAAGGTCGATCATTTTTTACCAGGTCTACTCAAAACTTAGGCAGTTGTTTCTCAAGAATCTCATATTCCTACATCAATATCCTTCTAGAATAAAATCTTCTTCAAATATACGAGTATGTGAATATCTTCACTACTCCTACGGTTTTGGAAATGGGCACCGTCGCCCCTTTGTTTTTTTTTATTGTCTTTTTTCCGTTTCTTTTTTCATGAATGTTTTTTAAGGTCTTTTTTAAAACTATTTTTAAAATGTTTTAAAAATCAAAATTGTATTGTGTCTGAAATAAAAGATCAATGAAATAAAAAGAATCAACATCCACTTCATTTGTTTGAAATTATAAATTTTTATTTTTCGTCTAAAAAAGTCTTATTGGTTAATTTTCATGAAACACTTTTCTTTTTTTGCGCTGAAGCTCATTTCTCATTTTCTATTCATTTTCTAGATTTTTCTTTTATTTTATGCTTCTCTTTTTTACAAAAAAAAATTACAGGAAAGGAAAAGTATATTAAAATTACTTTTATGGAAATGTAGAAAATTAAGCAATGAATGAAATTTGTTGTGCACCGATCCAAAAAAATATTATGAATGTATGATTGACTAAATATTAAAAACATCGAACTCTATATTCTTTTGGTCCCAGTATTTAAAAAAAATAAACAAAAAATCAGAATATATATTTTGAGACAAATGAAATATATTTTAATTTTTTATTTCAAACAAAAAATATTTTTATTTTTAAAGATATTTTAAAAAATAATTTTGTAAAATGACTTACGGAATTTCTAAAAAATGAAAAAAAGAAAGAAAAAAATAATAAAGATAAAAGAGAGGGGTGTTGGTGCGCATTTTCAAAACCTTCTCCTATCCGGGGAAAATTCTTCTTTTTAGGAGTATGCATTAATTTCTTTCTCACATTTTTTTGAGCGGTCTAATATTCTTTTCCCGTTTTTAATTTTGACAAAAAGCTTATAATGAATATGTCATTATAATCTAATTTTTCTCTGCATTATTTATTTTAATTATTCAATCACATCAAAGGCAAAACATGTAAGGCTTTTATACTTTTTAACTTTTTTTAATATTCGTATCAAATTAAACTAGGATAGAAATTTTTAGACGGAAGAAGTATAATTAATTTGAATCGCCGTGGAATGTGGTATAGGAATTTAGTGTTATCCGTACGATGGAAATAGCTGGATATGTAAATGGATGGGTTGCACCACACCATTCATCAATGATATGCATATCTTGTTTCCAAATATGGAATTGAGCACTGCCCAATTCAATTCGATCCATTCGAAAGTTGCATTGCTTGACTAACTGCTACTTCATTAATTAAAGAAGCGCAGACAATTTAAAGATTCATTTTGATTTATCCCATCACACCCTAAAACCAAAAAAAGGTGAAATTTTGACTCGATCTCATGTATTATGGCCGCTTGTGATGTGAGTTTCAAAGTTTGGTCTCCGGTGTCAAACGTTAACCATGTGGCCACTTGTGATCGAGAGTATATATGGTGATGATTATATTGAAAAATGAAGAAATCTGTCATGTTCTCAACCTAAAATATTTGAATTTGATTTGATTGATATGTATATTGTCATTGATATGTAATATTTTGATCATTATTAATAATATTGTTTATATATAGATATATTTTACAACAAACTATAACATTATTTTAGAAATATATTTCAGATAAAAGGCATCTATTGTTAATAAATATAATACTCATTCCGTCCCCCTATATTTGTCCGCATTTGACTTTTGAAATTGTTCATTTAAGCACTTTGACTCATCAAATTTTTTCAATGTGTAAGCCTTAATATAGTCATGTGTGATCTTGTTTGATTTGTCTTAACATATAGATTATTAATACAAAGGGACGGAGGGAGTAATTTAATACTCCGTGTATTTTTTTTACCAATAAATGTTTACTTTGAAACCAAATTGTAAAATCACACATATTTTAAATTAAAACAATATCATGCCAAGGATGTTGGAGTTGCCATATCAAAATATAAAGATCAATATATACCACTAGCATATAGTATAGAATTAAGAATGAAGTACTATTTATCAGCTTAAACTTTTAGTAAAGAGTAGAGCCAGACTCTATATGGGTAAGTGGTCAAATCTCACCTAATACTCTGCCTAATCCACTCAGCTCAGCAAAATTTTAACATGGTATCGGAGCAGGTTTGGGCCGAGTTCAATTCTTCCTGGTTGTTGGACGTCGGTTTAGCAAAAATATGAGCTACGACCCATCCGTGGTTTGGGATGAGTTCCCACATAGAAGAGTAAAGCTCTATCTATCATATTAAGCTTTTGGATAGAAAGTGGATACAGACTTTATATGATCAAATCTCACCCAATACTCTACCCAAATCACTCGGACCACCAGAATTCCAACAAAGGGTGATCTGTATATTTTTAATATCTAAAACATGCAAAATATAAACTCAACCATCAATCCATCATTGAAGTGAATTGAAACTCCGATCTAATTAAACAATCAATATGAAGGATATGTGTAACAACAATTCTCTCTTCAAATAAACTCTAATCATAAACTGTCACCAAAGCTATTGAAGTTTAATCAAATGAACATTAATATTATCAAAGAAAATATCAAAGTTTTATCCTAAACATATATTTTCTACGTCACACAAAACCTTTACAGTTTTCACTTTTAAAAGATTTAAAAAAAGTTAATTTTGGGGTTGACTTTTCAAAAATATTTTTACATGCATATGATGAGTAAAAATAGAATGTAATGTGTAGATTGATATATACTGAATAAGTATGATGTACGGAGTAATAAATAAGTTAACAATTACTTCGAGTAAATGTGAATTTTTAAATGTCAACTACTCGTATATATATATTTGGGTTCGATCTCCCCAAGTCCCCGAGGGCCTCTCTAGCTAAATATCCCATCCAAACCAGCCGGCGAGCGCAGTTCAATTCCTAGCAATGAACCCATCAGACATGGACGGAATCGTCTACGGCCACCGCGTATCTACGGTGGTGCCGGCCAGCATAACCGAGGGGGAGGAAAAGATGACCCACAAGCTGACCAACGCCGATTTGGCGATGAAGCTCCACTACGTAAGAGGGGTGTACCTCTTCCGCAGCCAAGCCGTGGAGGGGCTGAGCGCCGTCCACCTGAAAGACTCGCTATTCCCGTTGCTCAACTCGTACTACCCGGCCGCCGGCAGGATCCGGAGGTCCCCGCCGGAGGGAGGCCGCCCGTTCATTAAGTGCAACGACAGCGGCGTCAGGGTGGTGGAGGCTGAGTGCCAGAAAACCGTCGATGAGTGGCTGGCTTTGACGGCCGGTCAATCTTCGCCGGATCCGTACGACCGGCTTCTTCGCCGGGATCATTTCCTTGGTCGTGATGATGACTTGGCATTTTCACCACTTCTCTTTATCCAGGTAACTGTGGAGCACTACAATTTAAAAACTGCAAAGTAAATACTCTGTACCATAATATATTAGGAAAAGTAAAACATACGGAGTAGAAAAATATCAAAATATAATTTTTTTTGTTTTTATTTTTTAAATGAGAATTTACACTGTAGTATTGTTGACCTGTACACAAACATTTTAGTATATTTTTTGGTAATATATATGATCATTATTAATATTATAAATATATTTGTACTCTTATTTCAAAAATTAAAACATAGAACTCATGTTTTAATATATATGTTTTTAATATTTTACTCTTACTTTAGTTTTTTCTCCTAATATATTTTGTTAAAAATGCCACTACTTATTACTCGCTCCCACCCACAAAATTTTTCTCATTTCTTTTTCATCCATCCTAGAAAAACCATTCTTATTTCTATTAAAAAATCACTAATATCCTTATTAATTTTTAACCTACACATATCACATCAAATCTTTTTCCTATTAATCTATTCATTAATATTATTTTTTTCCATTACATCTAAGCATATTTTTAAAAAGTCAATACTAAGATATATTTTCCTTACATCCTTTAAAAGTTAAAACTAGAAAGATTTTATAGAGTGTGGAGAGTAGTGCTATTAAAATTTATACATATCACATCTTACTTTTACACATCACATCAAGAGTATTTTTAGAAAGTCAACATAAAAATATGTTTCTCTTAAATTTTCAAAAACTCAAAGAGTGAAGTTTATTTAGAACGGAGGGAGTATTATTTGTCAAAAATGTCAATGCAAGGGAATTTAACCAATGCCATTAAACTATTTTTTTGGTCAAAGGTATAACTCTTATGTCGCAAAAAAAAAATTCATTTTTTCTGGAACCTCTAAAAGAAAACTTCACTTTTCATTTTTGACAATTTTGTATGGCCATACATTTTTCTCTTTCATTTATAT